TGTCATGAAGCAGTCAGACGTTGACTAGCTTTTCAAAAATAAGTTAGGATTCAAATTTAGATTCAGGAAACGGTAAGGACTTTTTATTTAATTTGGCACAGGGAGATAATTCAGTGAAAAATAGAAAGAAAACACAAAGAAGAATTCCTCGATCTGACAGTATGCCAAACTAGGGCCACCGCTCTTACCTACTGAGCCATAGATCAAGTCAGTTGACCTTACGAATTTCTCTTGTATTGATTTTTTTTCTGCTTTTATCGGCGCACACTGGGGCCCGTCTATTTAAGGCAAAGCTCAAAATGTGGGTATTTTAAAATGCACTATTACAAATAATGAGTCGTATATCAGATAGCGATAAACTTATGAAATAATAATAATGTTTAGGGGACTCAACATGTCTCTCTTAGTCACTCACATTGTGCACTTAAATCGATTTTATTATCAAACGTAAGAAATAAATGTTCAAAGATTTCACATAAACTCACGTTGTAAATGTAAAAATGGAATAATGATTATTTAGCGTAAAGAGCAGACTTTAAGCTGCTGCACGTCAGAACTGACAGTACTTAGCAACTCAGTACTAGTGTACTCAGTGCTAAATACCCATATTTAGAAATTTGGGCGGGCCCCAGTGTGCGGCGTAAGCGACAGCTGTGAGAGACTTATGAAGCTTCTCACTCTTAGTCAACTTAATACAAGTAATTTGTTTTTTTAATAACTTATTTGTGTTGCAAAAAGACGATTTTACAATTACTTATTCACATTTATATATTGATAATTATGAACATGGAAAAACATATAAAGGCACAACGAATCATCGATTCAACAAATGTTTTGTATTTATTCATCGATTAAGGTCATCGAATATATAACCAGAAATAGAGACGAAATAAGGGCCATATATTCCTGGCAACACATTAGCGATACAGCTCTTATAACTATCAACTTTCGTTTGCACTGAAATATAGACAGGCCAATTACTGACCTGTGTGTACGTCTCCGTATATTCCAAAAAATATTCTGTATTTATTATAATAAAGATAATATCTTTAACAAAGCCGTGCTGTTCTATTCGGTGGTGGGGCAAAAACAGCAAAACATCTAATTACAAAACAAACGGAATCACATTTCATCGGTAATTAAATATTAAATATATAATTTTGCAATTTTCGTCTATTATAGCAAAGCTCAAGTTAACTGGTCGATTTGAAGTGAAACAATTGACGACACCCGTCAATTGTTTCGAACTCGGGCTGGCCGATCGGAGCGCAGTTGTCACAGTAATGATACGGCAGAATAGTTTTCCAACAAACTAAATGACGTTTCGTCTCTATTTCTGGTTATATACTCGATGATTAAGGTATAAACGATGGGTGTAATTTCTAACCGAATCTCACTATGCCGAACAATAACACCCGGCACCCAATGAGGAGACGGCACGACATCTGCCTGCCGTTTTCAGATGAATAATAGTATACCTTAATGTTACGTCATTGTACTTGAATTTTCAATGACAATGGTTGTACAGGTCTACCGCTTTACTGAGACTGTTTCTGAGTGTATGGTGTGTGACGTGAGAAATCAGTCAGGCTCCCATTTTGCTGGCGTCAAAACATGTTTTTTGTGGAGGCTTTGAGTGAAACGCACGTGAGATTGGCAACATAAGACGAGTCGTCCAATTAGGAGCCAGATGACAAGTCGTTTATAATGTTTACAAATATTTTAAGACAAAAAAATTAGATCCGGCAACAGCGGAACATCACGATGGCATAAATATACATAAGTCGTTGCCAATGTCACTCGACTGTATCCCACCCTACCATTCAGATTTAAATCTAAAATTGTATGGAAATATATTAAATGTGAACTAGCACGAAACGAAGAAAAAACGAGCTCTCGAACATTTATTCACTGACTATTCAGTAGAGAAATGGCAAAATTGCCATGATCTTGTCAAGAAAATTTAAGACGGGAACAACAGTAATGATGTGATTACCGACGAGATTATGAACACATTCATGATAAATATACGAGATGAAGAATCTGGTGATGACTATTCAAATCATTCAAGTTACGATTCAAACGATATGGATACTGAATAGTGTGTAGAAGTGATTAAGATAATCATTTATTTTTAAATGGCTTGTGTTTTTATTTTATTTATCTTTTTTTTTGTTATCGTTTCCTATACCTAACAACAATTTACTTGCAGGCAGGTTTTTCAATCAACTTGCTATTGAATGTCGTCAGAAAAATCTTGCTGAAATTATCTCGTGTGCAACGCGACGTAACTGTTACGTAAACTGTCACTCCCCCTCATCGCGCAGCTACCTGAGGGACCGACTCAGTTACGCGGTAGGCCTGTAGCTACGAAAACAGCTACGTTAAGCTTAGGGATACCGAGCGGGCAGCCTTTGGTATGCCTCGACAGCCCTCAGAATTCTTCGGCAGGTTTTTTTTTAACGTTACGACTGATCTTAACAGAGTAAAGTAAAAAATTTGGCATGCCGCAACATCCCTTCCCCTACCGTCCCGCCAATGGGCGCCGGGCCTAAAGAAGCAGCCAGGTACATCGGTGCCTTCATAAGACCTGTTCTTTGTTTCTTATTAATAAAATATTTACCTTATCAAGATGAACGGTGTTAAAAAACGAGTTGCAAATTACCATACAGTCAAAGAATTACTCAAAATCTCGGAAAAATTTTGATAAACACTAAAATTATCTATATTTTAATCTAATAATTAAACATTTATTTCGATAATAGTGGAAGAAGTTTAGGCACTTTTGGTATTTATTTACATGGACCTTTATTTACAAGTATGTTGACAAAATTATTTTAAACAAAAGATTGCTGTCACAACCGCAATACCAAACTACGAATCCTAGGCAAGAAAAGTGTTTTTGTAATTAGTTACAATTACATAATTTGTAGTTCGGGACCGAATAAACCATGAAGATAAACAACTTTATCAAAAAAGATTTACATTTAGTAAAAACATTATTGCGTCTCCATACAAATATTAAGTAGCTTCCACAGTGATAAAATTATTTTAATTTTTATTTAAATGTTTAAAAATGTAAATTAAATACAAATAATGAAAAAGAACTTAATTGGATCTTTACTTTGTTAATTTAGTACTCGTGGGAAAGACTAGATGGCGCCACTTGCACTGACTGAAACGCGCTAGTGAAATGTTCACGATTTTTTTTTATGTTAGTGACGAATAGGGTCACCTTTACATAATGATTTTTGGACACTTTTTCCCGTAACAAAGGCTAAAGTTAATGTTAACGCTTATGAAATTCAACGGCCACTATTATCCTCGTTGAAAATAATAGAATATAATCCACTTCACATAGGATGGGTACTGCGACTTTTCAAATTTTTACGTTGCATGCGTACTATTTTTAATTAAGCTCTCAACTAGCTTACAAAAAGAGATAGTATTGTTATAATATACCAAAAACAAACAATATATATTAAATAGACAGAAACAGAGATGATAAAGATAAAAATAAATTACCCTAACTCCTCGATGTATAAAACGGAATTCTTTGCCTAGAGATTGACATCATAGAATCGATAAATCTAATCAGCTACTGTGTATCTCGCTTCAATACGAGAGCATACACCTTGTATGCGGGTCGATTTGTTTTGTTTTGAGTTTTTTTATGCATTGTTGTTGACTATTTCCGGTTATTGTAGATTTTCTTCGTTTGTTATGTAGTTTTTTAGTAACTTAATAACATAATAACCGAATCCTTCTATTTTGCATATTATTTGTTCTTAAATTATTGTCCCTAAATCGATTCCCTCTTCGTTACAAATTGTCTCGATTGAAGGTATTTAAATCGATCTTTTTTCATTTGTATTTTATGTCAATATATTCCTAGAAACTTCAAATCTCAAAAGACATTGTACCCATGCTATGTGAAATGAACTATAAATAAATAATATTCCGCGCACAGATGCCACCACTTGGCAACAGTGCGTCAGGTTGAGGCTATGGACTACCCCTTGCAACGATCCCCACATGCCCATTTTGCTTCCTGCACGCGTACCAAACTTCACAGAAGCCCGTTTATTCCTTGTACTATTGATATGGTTAAGGCATGAAGTTGACCACATTTCCCTCCACGTTCGCTCTGAAGTTCGTGATATTATTCCACAAACATCCATCTTTTCCATATGACCAAACCATCGTATTATTTTCTATCCTAGTCATTGTATTATCTTTCACACCATATACCTTAATAACAAAAACTACAAAAACTTTAATAAAAATTATTGCTTTTTAAATTATTGTATGTTAGTGAGAATTCTTGACATAGCCATTCTACATGTCGAAATTGCTAGAATTCATTATCACAGCGTTCCAGACCAGCCTGGATAATAACAAAGAAACTTTCCGTCAAAAGTTGTTTATATTCATTAAGTCACCAAGCATTCGTTTATGAAGAACATCAAACTAGAAATAAGTTAAAAATGTTTTTTAACCGACTTCATTGGAACTTGCTTGCGTCGAGGGCGGCTTGATAAATACGTCTCTTTAAAGTTAAATAAAATCTTTTTAATTTATTTTTATTTCTTAATTTAGAACTCCTCACTAAGCAAATGACGGTTATTGAAAAAATTAGAGCGAATATAAAAAATTAGGTGAAGTTGATATATTTTTTGAAGATGGAGAAAACTGAATTTCGAGTATTCCGTTTCTCATCGTCAATCAGAACATCAAAACTTGTCCAATAATGTCCATTTGACTTTTTTTTTTACCAGATTTTTTACCGATTTGCATCAAATGAGGAAGTGATAGCTGAATTATTTTTTAGTTTGACAAAAAAATATTTTGGTTGAAGGATATCTCTGGTTAAGGTGTATAGAGTTGAAAGGAAATTATGTAGAAAAATAAACAAAAAAAAAAATTTTTTTTCAGTCACAGACTTGTCAAACCGTCCTCGTATTTAGTTAATTTATTTTAATATTCTTATCGATCTTTTGAGATAAAACCAATACGCAATAAAAAAAACATCGATCCGATACTTATCTTGAAAAGAACCTGAATAAAACAACACAATAAACTCTGAACTATCAACAAATACAAGTATTTCGAACAAACATTGCTCCCCATGTTGACCAAATTATTATTTAAAACAATTTCCGAGTAACTTCCATTTTATACAAACGGTTGGCACATTTTAGTATTTTTTTTTCGATTTTTTATACGTGATTTATTTTAGAGATATGTTTGTTGCATTTTACGAAATATTTACAATTTAATATAGGAGCAGAGTTACATGCTACATCGTGGTGGTTTAAAGTGAGGAGCCCCTGTTTTTGATACTAGCTTTACAGATAAAATTATTTAAATTCTTTACTTGTTACGAAAATTGCACACATTAAAATGTCAATATGCGAATCGATTATATGCTGTTACAAGGCGCCTAAGACATTATCTAGATGTGGGAGGATTATAGGTTTTAAAATATAGCAACATACTGAGGCTCCAACTATAATCAACTTTTACCTATTGAGCAAGACGATGCGTTTTTCTGTGCAAATGCAACAAGTGATTAGTTTTAAATTATAATAAATATCTTTCAAGTATTCAAAATAACTCTTCTACTTTGGTGCAACGCTCAAATATGGGTCTGAAAAATATATTACGTTTTCTTATGTATATTTATTATTATACACGATACTTTTAGTTTGAAAGTTAAGCTATTTTAATAAAGATTAAGATTATTTAATGTTTCTTCTCTATATTGCTTCGTTAACCCAACAGGGTAACCCTTTTCGTTATGTATACCATCTACATTTACTTGGGTATATTAAGGCTGTCCAGCAGTAACCAATTTGTTTTACCTCCAATATCTGTCACTGAAGTCAAGATCATTTTGCGATATTTAAATGTTGGTATTAGTTTACTTTTAAACTCCATAACATGGTAAAGGTTCAAATCTTTGATTGAATGTTATAAAAATCTACCTCTGTGTCATCCATGTTGGATTATCCAAGCAAATAATTCTACTACACTAACGCTACGGTAAATTTGTCTAGCTGTACAATGTCATCTTACCTCCACCCACATAAACAATGATATATTTAAAACTTGATCGCATATTTTCAGCAATTCACGCGAGGACTCCATCCACACGCATATACTTTGTACTAAGTTCATTCGCGTTTAAATAAAAAATTTGGACCGATTATTCGTATGACTTTAACGTCATGTGAAATGTGGTAAATAATTCATGCTATCAGATCACTTGAGTTCCATATCACATAATAATTGAAGGTACACAATCTTACAACTTTAATATGATCTGATACGCAGTAAATAATTAAAAGTACTCAAATCTTGACTTTAAAATCACAAGATACGCAGAAAAGTACCCGATTGTGTGACCTTAGAGTGGTGGTCACAAATGCAGCGATGCAATCGCCAATAAATCCCAAGTGTAGTGATGCAATCGCGCATTTGTATCGATGTAGTTGCGCACTTGCATCGCTGCTTACAAACGCGCGTGTGTGAAAAGGTTCACGTAATCGCGTTTGCGAATCGCCACCGCATCGCGTTTACATCGCTGCCAAAAGTAACCGCTCCGTGTGTAACCGCTCTTAATATCACTTGATACGTAGTAAATAATTCAAAGTACCCTATTACACGAGTTTAATATTATGTGATACGCAGTAAACAATTAACAAGTACTTGATTTTGACTTCGATACGATACGCAGTAAATAATCATAAGTATCCAAATCACACGACTTTAATGTCAAATTTCTTTAGTCATAGCGACATGACAATTATATCAAATAATATAAACATAAATGGTCTGTAGCACAAAATATATGGGCGCAGCATATTTTGCCAAATCACGTCCTATAATATGCTGCCTGAAGTGTTTCCATTTTTCATTTACGGAGTTTTAAAAACAGTGCATCTGCTAATTAGCAAAAGTTGTTGAGCAAAATTTTAAGACAAAACACCATTAAAAATAAGTTTTGTGATAAATATAACTTTGGCAATCCAAACAAAAATGAAAACACCTTCATATGCAAATTGACGGAGCAGCTAAAGTTTAGGGAAAATAGCCTATTTCCCATTATCTTTATAGGTATCATTATTGTTAAAATTCCCCTAAAATTTTTATGAACACTCAGTAAAAATGTCAATTGACATATCACCTGTCGTTAATGTCAATTGACAGCCGCACTCAGCCGTGACCACACAAATAAACAGACAAACACACGCACAACTCTTTACTACATTGAAAAATATTCTTTACATATTGTTGCCGGAATTTTTGGACCGGGATTTTTACTACTATAAGATATGTGTTCTATTTTTATCATCGCACATGACGTACGGTACCCTTTTCACTGTCGTTATAACTGTCAAGGATAGAAGGTTCTCTTCTTTGAATAACATTCATGTAGTTGCAGTAAATTTGATATAAACCAATAAAGATTGAATGTAAACCCACGCTCAACAGCGGGACGTATACCGGAAGATATATTAGGTTTAAGTTAGTTCGAACGTTACTTAAATGTTTACTTTGAACGTATGAATTTTGAACACAAGTGTAGAACATTTTGATTCGCAAACGTTTGCAGAATTTCGGCGACAAAATCGACCGTCGGTCACACCGTAAATCGTCGTCGTTCCGCGCGCGGCCTCGAACACGTTCGTCGTGATCCCGAGCGCAGCGGTCGGGTTGAACAACGCGAGGACGAAATCGAAAACGACGCCGACTTACCGCTCGTTTGAAAGCGAGAAGAGTGTGGCAAGGCCGGGCCGAGGGGGGCTGCGGGGGCTGCGCGGGCTGCGGGGCGAGGCGGGGGTGCGCGGATCACAAGGCCTTGTGCTTGCCGTTGGAGCTGGGCGGGCCCAGCGCGCGCTCGGCCGCCGCCGCCGCCGCGTGCTCCATGCCCTTCTCCAGGCACATCTGGTACATGGGCTTCATCACCTGCAACGCGGGGCCGAGTCAATCCCGGGGCACGAGGCTGTGCGTGGCGTATGGTGCCTCTTTGTGTAATGGGTTGTGCGTAATGCGTTGTGTATAACAACAACTTTATAAAGTTTTTTACGTTCCACCAAGTCGTACAAACTCTGGCCAGAAAGAGATCGTTTCACGTCTTACGACAACGTACGACAAGTCTTTCAATACAATGACATTTTCGCGAATACTAAGCATTCGTACTGTGCAATAAAAAATATGTAGTTTTCTACTATTTGATACTTATCATCATTTTAATTTTTAATTTGGATTGTACTTTGCTGCAATTTTACAAATATTATGAAAAATATTTTTTCTTTTTTTTTAATTTTTAATTTTTATTATTATTATCACTTTTTGAATTTACATTAGCATTCAATGAACCCTAAACTCACTATGTCACGTCGTACTAGACTATCCATGAATTTTGAAGATATTTTGATGGGCATTCACTTACTTGGTGTGTGGCCAGTTTCGTTTCTAACAAAAACTTTACTTTTGTATGGTAAAAGATTTTTTGCGATTTCTGCCATTTCGAGTACTCTTATCTCAGTTGGTCCCATAGAGTCTATTGATCCTTACCAGAGACCGGATCGAATGGTACAAAAAAAAAGTTTTGTAAAAATTGCCTTTTATCTTGCTGACTGTACCATTTTTTCAAAATCTGTGAATGCCAATCAAAATATCTTCAAAATTCATGGATAGTCTTCTAGAACCATTTTCCTGTAACTACAACGATTAAGGTAGCTGGCCTTGCTGCCCCGTCTCAAATTTACACCCTGCATAGTGCATTGTCTACAATTATTCTTGCGTAGTGTATTATGCGTAGCGCGTTGCGTACGGTGCATGGTGTATGATACATGCAACTCACATTGTCCCAAAGCACGTTAGCGGTGTCGTCGACGGCGACGCCCAGCTCGCGCATTTCGCCGCTGTACCTGCAACACCACGCCGTTTTAATGTACAGTTCAAGCCAGGTTGTTAGAAGCTGGTCAGTGCTGTTCTATTGAACAAAAGCCGGTTGTTACTACGAAACTATGTCTCAAATAAGACAATGGTGTTAATTCAAAACGCAAACTAGAAACAAGCATCGACTTTCGTCATTAGTAAAAACAGAACAATTGATTTAATTTCATACCGTTTTTTCCAAGACGGAAAAAAATGGCAGTTTAATGGGCAAATAGCTTACTGCTTATAAGCAGTTATTGATTGTAGTCGATAATAAAGTAGATTACATAGAATAAGAATAAAATCGTCTCTGTACTGTCACGAATTGTTATCGGTACCAGTATGTCAACTATCAAACTAAGAAGGAAAGAAAGCGGCAATGCAATGATTAATCATTCGCGCGTTTCTACAAAATTTAATCTCCTTCGACAATCTATCGATAAAACTCTGGACGACAACTACATCACTGTTTAAAATTTTCCTCTGCCGTCTAGGCTCCGCTTTGCGAGAACGGGCACGTCTTTTCGTAAATGGTTAGCGGGTGAATAGAATTAGCGAGTGTATCGTTAACCTGATGTACGCCCAGAGCACCAGCGTCAAGAGAGCGAGACCCATGGCCAGGTTGCAGAGATTGGCCAGCGGGTACAGCCCCACCAGCCCGAACACGCCGCTCAGCACGTAGAAGAACAGCGCGATGGCGAAGAACACGGACGGCGTGCGCGCCGCCTTGAAGATGTTCTTGCTCTCGTTGTGCGCGCGGAACTGCTGGAACTGCTCTTCCAGGTCCTGGCGAAGTTACGTAACACTCGCTGTTCAAATATTTCAAGGCTTTTATTTTTATAATCGACCTACAAATATACTGGGACACGTTCCATTAAACAGTTTTGCTTTAATTGCGAGACCTGTAGATCAACCGAACATCCGTAGATGCTATAAATTGTATACTAAAATCAATCCCCACACGAAACAGGCAAAAAGACTGTTACTATTTGTTGAATCGGTTCTTCAGCAGCACCGCCCAGACATGTAAGTTATAGTTTAGGATACGATGGAACTGGCATATACATTGAACAAAAGTTCTTAAACAAAAAAATGGAAATCTCTTAATCGTAATATATTATTTGTATTTTAGTAAGTAGTAAGCTAATTTAAGTACCGAGCTTGTTAGCTCATCACTAGGTGGTTAAACCATTAAGTTTTTACCTAGCGTTAATGTAATAAAATAGTTAACGTTTTTGAAATTGAATAAAAAAAAAAATACAATAAAGCAAAGTCACAAATGGTCACAAAAGATTAGAGCCTTTATCATATACTTATGGAACACAATGATGACAGGTAGATTTATTGGACATGACACTATTTTTTCGAATCTAGATCACGTTTTTGCTTTTTTTTTTTCAAATAAACCAACGTTACGGGCTCTTTATTATATATTGCAAAAATATATTACACACAGTATGACTCAATGTGGCTATTATTATGATAAAATAGTTTGAAGGTACGTTTTTAATTGTTGTGTGAATGCTGGAATTAATTTAAGCAGTTTACCTGCGTGAGCTGTTCGCAGTACGACTGACTGAATTCCTCGCCCCCCATTTTGCGCTTGCTGTGGAAGGCGTGTAGAGCCTTGTCTCTGAAATCACGATTCATTATATGTTATTTTCATTGCTATAAGGAATTTTGAAAAACTTATGACTGTACAGAAAATGGCCCAATAATACTTCAGTTTGTCCGTAAGTGCACCAATGAACTTTTCTATACAAGTCTGTTGACTAAAATAATTTAGTGTTTATTGTTTTACAACTTCGGTAGCTTAGCGGTTAGAACAGAGAGAATTAGATGGGAAGTTTTGAGTTTACTTCTCACTAGAACCTATTTCGTAAACATATTTTAATAATTTGCACGCGCACGACCACTCAGATGAGATAAGGGCTCTCGTTACTCAACGCGTACCGGTCATTCTAAGACAGAAAGCCTAAAAATGTTCCTTATCACTCCCTCCACGAAAATAGTATGTGTGAATACCATGGACCGAAGTCGAGTAGACTGCTAATCTATCTGTAGTATGGACTACGGATCGTAACTCTGAAAATAATCAAAGTCCATGTCTTATATATAGATTGCGCTGATCTATATAGCCTGGAAGTAGTTTATGTTATGTAAATGGCAGTGGATATCAATTAATTCTTCTTTAATATAAAATATAAAAAGTCAATTTTTTCCCCTTGTAATATTCTTCAAATATTGATAATGAGCTAAAATTATTTTCTAAACATTGTCAATTGATGGCATTGTATGTTACAAACTAATTTATAAATTAACGCTTCTTAATATGGTTAGATGGCGCTAATCCTAAGAGCCGGGACTATCCATAAAAATTAGTGCAATAAGCGCCATCTAGTTGATTTGTTTATCATCACTAGAAATTAGAGTAGCTTTGATAAATTGCAGTTTGTCAATATAAAACAAATTAGATACAAAAATTGCTATTTGGTAACCGTCGCGACATCTGGTATAGCAACAGGTACTAAATACTACGCAGTCTTGTTTCGCCATGTGTCATGGTATAAGAATAAGAATACATTTATTGCATAACTATCATTGACTTACAATTATATGGACGTCAGGTCCGCGCTAAAAAGTGTCCGAACTTATAGGGTGTTAAAATCGTATGCAGAGCGTCATTCACGCTCTAGTCTTCGTTTGTTCGACTGACAGCGAAGCAAGCAAAATTAGACAGTACTGCGATGACATTATAATTTAAATTCAACGTTTTAGCTCTTTCATATTCCTTGAAATGTCACTACGTTTAAATGGGTTGACTTGGGACATTTTTTTCGTGGTTTTTGTATTAGACCCGTCGTCCATTTATTTGTAAGTCAATGATAACTATAGTTAATTTACATAAGATCTTAAAATATTACATTGGTTTGTACTTTATAGTCTACCAGTTAAGGTGTACAATATTATATAAATGTCACAGATTAAAATTAAATTGCATTACAATATAAAAGAAAAGGAAAAAAGACGGATTTATTAATAAACATGTCACATCGCTAGTCGCCAATTTGTGGTAATCGTCAAAAAACTTTTGTACACTATAATAAAGCTTGGTACTCAAACATTTACTAAGAGCTATTTAAATTTTACGTACTCAAATTTTGTTTTTGTAATTTACATACTCTAATTATATAGAAATAAGTTGTCCTTGTCACTAAATGTGTTTTTGTTTTTTTCTGTGCAATAAAAAAATGACGTGGTGAATTTTACTTTGATTTAATGTTTATTTAAAGTTTCTCTGACATTTCCACCGGTACTTTCTTTGCGCACATTATTACCGCAGTGGAATGGGACTGTAAGTTTCAGAAAGTAACTAACCTGATCCTGCAGTGCTCCGCGTCGAGCAGCTGCGTCTGCAGGTAGGGCTTGGCACCGCCGCACACCTCCTCCATGAGTGTCGTGTACACTTCTTTGGCCTCTGCCACCGCCGTCAGGTTGTTGGCTTCCGCCGTCGCCTGACAAGACAATTATGATCATTAGGGCGCGAGATACTGCTCTACAGGTCTCTATTATGACGATGAGATCTCTTTTCATCGTCATCCCACCTCTATCACCCTTATCTCTGGCTTCTAGCCACTTACTTTTGAAATTTTGAATCTTTCTCTAATTCTTTTCCTTCGTCATTCTTACTTTGCTTCGTTCCGACGTGACTGCCATGAAACTTCTCGAAGAAAAAGGACGTGTACGTCGTAAACATTATTAAATAAATAAATAATAAATATTAGACAATATTAAAGACGTTATTCCGAATCCAAAGTAAGTACGTCGGTAGCACAAACACCCAGACCCCGAGATAATTATAGAAAAGCTTTTCTACATTGACCCGACCGGGGATCGAACCCGGGACCTCAGAGATGGCGACACCATGAAAACCGGTGTGCAAGCCGCTTGACCAAGGAGGTCGTTGTCGTGTATTATTAAATATTAATTGTTTATAAAGCACCAATATTTGCGAATGCAGGCCCTTGTTAATTTACCCCAATTCACCTAGTTACGTTTGATCTGTAGTATTTTTATATTATATTGTTTGTTGTTACAGCAATTTCCTTAATTTATTCTACCTTCTTACAATAAATAAAAAAATATTCATGTGGACCGAGTGTTACTCTCATAATAATAACGCAAGACTCTCGTGAAGGAGGATTTTCCAAGTGGTATACAAAATTGTATACCACTTGGAAAATCCCAAGGAAACCTGGTTTTCGAAGAGGATTAATGACTTTTCGACATATATTTAGGACTCCGAACTATATGTACCAACTCTGAATAGTTGTTAGTCTAAGCTACATTAATGATAAGGTCTACATCCAACTACAAAGTACATAATCAAATTGTTAACAATAGGAAACAATTTAGGTCCAAAAAGTATACCCTGGGGAACTCCCACGAGACTGCACAAGGCATTGATAGTCCGTGTATTAGGTAATAACGTATCTGCTATTACAATAGATGTGCGTGAAAAGAATGAAAGAACCAATACATACCACGAGCATACTTTTGGGTTCAGGCAAGTCATTGCCCTTGTAAATGTTCATGTAAGACTTGAAATATTGCACGAGGTCCTTGGCCTTCACCTTCTGTCCGTTGATGAGCTTCGGCACGAGGTTGTGTGGGGATAGAACCATCGGGACCAGTTGCTGAAGGGACCTCTTGAATTCCGACTCAATGTCTGGTGGAAATAGAGGTATATTAACTTATTTTGATTTGTTTTGGTAAACGATCATTAGATTGAAAGTGGTTCATACCAACGCTAACCTCTGCCAAAGCGTTTGCAATATTTAGGACCCTGATAATGTAACGTAACAGACAACCACAACATTTCCTGGTCTCAAGCAAGGGAATTCACCTTGGAGCACTTCCCCGAACCCCAGATCAGAACCAATTCAAAAAAGTTAGTTTCCCAAATTAATCCTACCGGGCGTCGAACCCGGGACTTCCGCATCTAGCGCCCACATTGTAACCCATTAGGCCACTAAAGTCGCCAAATTGCATATTTGGATATAGGTGTTAGTTACCACTATAGTAAAGCAAGAATCGCCCGTTAGGCAGGAACTTTTGTGATGCTTTGAATGGTATGCAAATTATTGGCATATGGGTCACATTCAAAGGGGTTTCCTATAAAGTATCAAAAATGTTGTAGACGTGTGATCAATCTGTATGTTGCTGTCATCGAAACTCCCTGATCTTATTATAAACATATCAAAATATCCCTCAAAAGATTTCTATAAAGATTCAAGTATGTTGTGCTTGGTCCGCTGCGAAGTGTACGTAAATAATACGAAAGAGATTATTAGAGAATACCTGAGAGTCGTCCATCGAAATTGGGATTGGTGGCGACCTTGAGTCCGGGATGCGGCATGAGGAAACATGCGATCTCAGAGAAGCATGACGTTATGTGTTTACGCAGAGACTGCAGCTCGGGGTGTTGTTTGTCTGACACCTGCAATTGGGTAAGACACTCTTGAATAGAGTTCAAAAATAGGAATGGATTTCTGGGAAGGTGTAAATTTGATGAGGACAGAAACTTAATTAAAATTTCATAAGCTCCTGGTTACAAATATCACTCCACGTTAACCTTGTTTTAGAAAGCAACTTAAAGATGAATCAATGAATTGCTGCGAGATTCTGTATATTGAAACTGCAATTTCAATGTTACCTATATACTCATCTGTTTTACATATCTCCATAATGGATGACCTTGACGCCGAGTCAGCTGAAAGTTTCCTCGAATTGAGATTCAGCTATAACCAAGATGATCATAGTAAAGTGTCTCTAAGGTACCTTGAGCCTTCTCTGTAGTATTTTCTGGCCGCCATCAGCTCCATACTGCGCCTCGTACGGGAAGCTCCAGTCCCTGACGAGGAACTGCAACCTCTGGAATGGAGTCCTCCCGCTGTCCTCCAGTGCCAGACGCCCGTATTCTGTGAATAACTGGAAACGGGACGGGTATTTCAGTTATAAGAATTATAATATGTGCCAGACAACCACATCTACTGCCTGGTCTCAAACTAGGCAATTCTTGTATATACTATGAGTATCAAAGCACCGGAATTTACTTTGGGGGAACGGTGCGAACATCACAGCATAAAACGTCTATGGCTCGGTGCCAGAAAAGTTGACGCAAGTTGGCATATTGAAGCTGCTTAGGCACCTCAAATGAGATGTAGCATACCTGCAAGTGTTGTAAGTCGTCCTCCTGTATGTTCTGGCTGAGGTTGTACAGTTGCACGGAAGATAGCATAGTCGAGAGGGCAAACACGGTGGCGCAATCGCGCACCGTCGACTCGCTGTCGAACGCGCCTTGCGTGTCCAATAGAACTATCGCCACCTGCAAATCCAGAATATTCGAAAATCCAAAATTGTAAGAGATCTACAAGTGCTACCTCTCTCAAGGTTTTGGCAAGTCTAATCAAGATGGTTCGGATGGACGGGTCCCACATCAAGAACTATTCAAAAAATCATTCGTAAAAATATTTCAAAAAATGCATTTGGAAACGCGATGGGCTGCGTCCACGTCAGCTATAGCACTATCTATGAGACAATACTCAGGACTGCTCAGCTCCATGCGGGAACGACATACTGCTGCACAAACAAGTTTCGTATATGCGGAAGTCTAACATTTCTTCAATCTTAGACTAAATTTAAAGTTTAGTACAATACTAGGCCAAGTATGTACCTTCTCTCCATTTGGGAGCGTAGCCTTGAAAATATCGGACCACATGAGGATGCCGGTAGTATCGCGTTCAGAGCCGCCGCGCCAGCTGAAGCCGTGGAGCGGCTCGTCCTCGGCACCCAGCCAGTCGCCTCCGCCGCCGGCGCCATACTGCAGCAATAAACATTGAGGATCAAAAATGTGCCTTTAACTTAAACAACCGTCTATAGTTGTTTATAGACAATAAGTAAATGAAATTCCAGTAATGTCCCCCGAAGGAACATTCTTGAAAAATTACAGCAACTTTGCAGCAGTTGTGGACCTAAAGTCAACTTAACTTTTGAAATCAATGATTGACATTTTCCAATGATGCTTGTAAGTCTATTAGATAATTCCCGTTTGTATTGGTTGTTCAAATTGTTGACTGATATTACCGAATGCTTCTTTGACGCCACTATTCTGTATTACTGCTTTGTTTTAAACAAAACTTTGTGTGTCTTAAAGTGCTCACCTTGTGGTAGAGGTATCTGAGAAAGAAGTCGAGCAGGAAGGACTTGCCCTTGCGGAAGGCGCCGGCGACCGAGATGACTACGACAGGCCGGTCGCGGATGTCTTCGCGGAGCAGCAGCTCGCTTAAGGCATCCTCATCGAGGGTGAAAGTGTGCTCCGGCCCTGGCGTCACCACTTGTACCCCCCGAGGACCTGATTTTGATGCCGGCTTATCTGACACTTTTTCTGTTACTGTAAAAAGAATATTGTTTGTTACGAAATCATACTTGTTTCATAATTTCAGTTTTTTTTTTATAAATTTCAGTTTCGTTTCCGTAAGTAACGGCTTGTATTTGAATTCTAGAATAACAAAACGGACAAAGAACTCGAAACAAATAATTAACAAACTTAACTAATTAACAGTTAACAAAGATGAAACAACTAAAGAACCTTCTATTTTATTAATTAAAATGGACAAGTAAATGTCTTGTAATTTCATAAATTATTGTTAATTTGTATATAGTACGTTTTCTTGTTAGATTTTGAATAATGGACCATGGATGACATGAATTACGCCACTTTATTATACTTAAATTAATTAGGGGAATAGCATGAAATCAAGATCAAGATGAAATCAAGATGCACCCAACACGGATTGTGTATAAGAGAAATAAATGAGATTGCACAGGTGAATTAATTGAATTGCTTTCACAATATTTGCAATTGCGATCGATGTTACCGACAGCATTGATGAATGCGAAACTAATTCAAGCGCGATAGTCGTGCTACGTCCACTAACCACAATTACAGTTTAATTGTGAGTTTATGATGTTTACAAACAGACATGATAATTTCATGATTTACAATTTTCTTTTTTTTTATAAACACGAGTACGTTCTGTGTCAGAGGTTCCCAAACTTTTTGTCTTGTAGACCACGTGCCATTTGTTCTGTATTTTTTTTATAATGCCTACTAACAATTCGTGCGCCTGGCGCACGCGACACGCCTGTCCATAACAGTTGCAGTGCCACTCAGAGCTTTAAATATATATAATACCTAATCTTTATATTTCTTTTTTGTTGTATTTTTATCTTGCCGCCGGCTTTCCGAGGCGCCATCTTTCTTTTTGTCCATTTATGGCGCCACTGAAAACCAGCGTAATGAGGCATTCTTCAACGTCTCATTACACAAAGCTGAGTGGTGACCGTTTTGGTAACATATAATGTATGATTGTGTTTGTTTTGTATTATTTATTGTAAAATGTTGCCAAATAAATTATTTTTCTTTTCTTTTCTTTCTTTTCTAAATCACAACTATCTGAGGGGCATTGCCACTGCTCCCGACACCCTGAGACGTAAGTTGTCAAGTGCATGTAATGTCACCAGCACCCTTACTCTTCCAAACCGGAACGCAGTATGCTCACATTAATGCTTGGCGGCAGAAACAGGTAAAGTGTCTGTATTTCCCTGGAGGAACTCTTTCACAAGGAGTTCTACTGCTACTAAAATTGTATGTGGCCTTGCGTAGCGCAGACCACCTGCTAAACATATTATATTGAATTTTTACAAATTCGTCAACTTGAACTATGTTTTTGACAGCTGATACACTGCTATTCACATTGATAACCTTAGCCATAGAGTGACAAACTGAAAAAAAAATTTAGTAATTTAGAAGTAGCGTTCCTTGTAAGTTTGTCCGGCACCACCTGTCTATGCCGCCAAGCAGTAATGTGAACATTACTGCGTCCCGGTTTTGAAGGGTAAGGGTGCAGGTGAAATCACAGGCACACGGGACTTGTCAACTTTATACATAAGGGTGACTGGTGCAGCGGGCGAGCCCTTTCGATCTTTGCGATTTCTCCGAGCGGCAGTAGTCGTGTTGCTTACTATCAGGCCTACAACTTGTTCGTGACGTCATTTGATAACATACACAATATATTAAGTTACATGGGTACTTTCAGTGTTAGGTGATTGTTCCATTTATGGAAAGCCAAGATTTAGTTTCGATTTGCCTAAATTCACTCTCGAGGACCCTTAGAGTCGTATTCTAGAACTCTACTCAATGCTCAAGTCAGGATTGCACTGGAAACACAAGCACTGGACATACGACCCTAATGGCAAGGACTTGAGTATGATTTTCAGTGCTCACTGCAATACTCAAGTCCTGACTTGAGTATTGAGTAGAGTTCTGGAATACGACCCTTAGACTCCTCACAGACCCTCTAGGTGTTGATAAAAACAGATCACTTTGGGAATCATCGCTTTACATAATCGTCACTAGATGGGTTCCTGACGATCGCATTGCTTTGCAAAAAAAAACTTTAAATACTTTCTAACAATCAATTAATGAAATTACGAGGTTTCAATGTCGAAATACGACCTTAATTATTTTCCGTCCATGACTTTAAAACGAAACAATATTTTGCTTAAATGTATGTACATCTAATGTTTAAACTCAGAGAATCCATTACAGAAGGCTATGCCGTATTTTTAGCGACGTAATTACAGAACCTTGTGTATATAGGTGTAGATTCATTATATTACTATACTAGCTATGAAATTACTTAAGTAGAGAACTGTACTTAGCAGTTGAATGAAAATATATCTTGCGAATTAAGTTTATTAACTGTCAGGATATTTCACCACCATGATATTCAATTATTTTTTTCTGAAATTACTCCACTAGTTTGTTATAATTATTAATACAAAGATCCAGAGGGCGAATCCAGTCGGATCGAAGATTTCTTTTAAGTGTTCGATCTTTGTATTAATAATTATATCTCATGAACTTGCGTAATCTGAAACATCTGCTATAAGTAACCTATCACCACCTCATCCGTTTTTGACGAGGCCGTCACACCTATGACATTATTCTTCGTCTTAAAGCTCCACTACACGGCCAATTTATATAACAAAACAAAACGCATAATCCAATAAATCTAGTTTTTTTTATATTTATCCCGTATGTGTTCCATTATTATTTATCTGATTGCGAAAAAACTGCCGAGTAAACTAGAATTCGGGTGTCGAATAAACAACCACTGAGTATGCTTTGGAGAGAAGCAAAATACGTGTCGGGTAGATTTTTGGTGGTGGTATGTGTTTGTAGCTGCGTTTGTGTTATTTATTTTAATTATATGAGGAGAGAGGTTGGAAAAATAAGCGGCATGAAAGAATATTCAACAAATGTGCTTCTATATTGCTTCTAGTGGCAAATTAATTTACTTCCATTTTTTACTAATGTGGACTTCCGTACACTAATCTGCCTGCATCTATTAATTGGTTTCTGAACTGTTTTTAAAAGCACTCCAATAAACAGAGGCAAAAGCCAAACTGTTTTTTCTTTCAATGGCATTGCAACGCATGCACCAGGCACAGCTAATAGTATATAAACCCATTAGATAAGAATAAACAATAGGCCCAAGACTCTCCACGTATAATCGTAATGATAATATTGATATAGCTATTCCACACCTGGGCAATGACAATGCCCTCGCATAAAGTGAAAGTCTTTGGGATAATAATATACCCGCTAAACAAACGAGACAGGTCAAAACAAATTCTCACATTAGACTTTGGAAAGTTTTCTAAAAGTTGAGCGACCGTTTTTTGTTTATCCGGCATGAATATGCGAAGGTTTTGGCACTGGTCTCCGATATTATAGACGAACCCTGTAATTCGTCACTAAACATAGGAATTAACAAAGTGAACCAAAAGCAAAAATAAGATACACTGGTGACATCACACATGAAAAATATAAGCCTGTTGTACTTGCACATGGGGTCTTATGGCGACCTTAATGTTGTTTGGGGTCTCCTGTAAAATTTTGCTTAGGTTACGTTATGGGGCAGCCGTGCTACTGTTATGGACAAGCGTGTCGTCCCGTCACTGGGTATCATAAAAAAAGACAGTAAGCGTGTGAATTTTCAAGAATCTACTTATTATAGTGTACTTTGAATGGTGTAATATACCTAAATTGATTTTAACTAAATTGTTATTGCGTCACACTCATAAAATCCACGATACAAAAGAGCATAAAAACTACACTGTAATGGATGAAAATTCAGATGTTACTGAGTCTTGCCTCGGACAGTTTTTTACACATGTATAGACGGCAGTACATCAAGCTATACAGTGACGAATGTTGTACCGTTGCACTAGAGGCGATATTCGAACAAGAGTCTATAGCTGGATGTGTTGTTACCATTTATAATGTATAAAATAAATACACCGTTCATCTGAAACGAACCACAAGTCCGTAACAAATAAATAACAAGTGTCTAATTAGACGCAATCATTAGGTCAATGGACACAATAATGGAATTCAACCCAATGAACATAGGAAATATTCACAAGGTCAAGGTAGTTGAATCGCACATTCGATTATGCGTCTTGCGGCTTTGTCGGAAGTTCTCTAATTGAATTATGCATACGGTTACATTGAATGATGACGTGAAAGAATGAGTGTGAATTCGGGGATTAAAGGTAGCATTCTGATATTGGCGACCGCGTCTCATTGTTTATGTATCGAGTGCTGACCAGCAACGCAAGCGACCGCGTCGCATGACTTTCTGATAAAAATTCGTACTAAGCAGTAGGTCGCGGCCGCCAGTCACGATTCCCAACATCGGAATGTTTTATGGTACCTTAACGATACATTTTCGAGTAGCGTGTGTTAAAGGATTAATGCGAATGGAAGCCGCAAAATCTCTATCTCTGTTTAGGCTCACATATGAAAGCCCATTTTTGTAACCATACGATAATGACCTTTATGCCAATTGTGTGACGTACAAATAAGATACGAGCCAAAAAACGTCGCGTCTTTCGGAGAATTCTCGCGCAGTTTCGGGTATTCCCGCAGTTACCGTATCGTTAGCTTGCTCGTTACACTAGTGACATAAAGTCCATTATGCTATTCGTTACAAAAATTAGCTTCCCTTCGATGTAAATTGAAAGCCTTACGCTAGGGATGCATATTACAATTCGATTTTTATGAAAATCGATTCAACTGTATACGATCTAGCGATATTTAAGTAAACTGATTCAACATTAAGATGAATCGAATTTTCCAGGTCGTATTCACAATTTAAACAAAACAATCTCTTTGTGAACCCCTATTTTATATTTTAGCCCCTATTTTATATAGCAGTTTGACAACATCTAAGTACAATAAATCTATCATATTTGGCGATCTGAACGTCTTTTCTCACTGGCTAGTGTCACTATGAAAGTTGTAAACGACTGAGGCCACAAAGGCTGTCGATTTTTTTTATTGAACTTAATTTTGAAAGATTTTTATAAGATCGATTCAGAGGCATACGATCAAAAAAATCGATTCAAGGCAAACAAATTGTGCATCCCTATCTTACGCTACTAGCCGATAGGCGTGAAAAGACAGAAGAATTGTTAATAATATACATACTTTCGATCAACGTTGATGAAAACAAAGCACAGTGTGAGCATGAAATGTAGATAACACCGAAGTGAACAGTAACAATGATGAAGCAAGTGCCGAAGCATAGATTACATAAACACTCGAGCAACTTACTTATGTCTTTATGTAAATCTTTGTAATAGAGTTGCAAGTTCAGCTTCCCGACCACCTCATGCGCATAGCCTAAAACACACACCACCATATTTTAGTGACCAATGTGAAATAAATAAAAACGCATACAATAACGTGGCCGCGGTTATTTTTTTCTTTTTTTTATTATATCAAGTGACGGGATGAACAAGTCGTGCGCCTGATGGTAAGCTACACGCATATCCACAACAGTTGCAGTGCCTCTCAAGAGCTTTAAATCGCAAAGATCTGAGGGGCTGCCACTGCGCCCGTCATCTTGAGACATAAGTTAACAAGTACCATGCGCCTGTAATTCACCAGCACCCTTAGCCTTCAAAACCGGAACACAGTAATGCTGACTTTTCAATGGAATCATGTAGTTCAGCCCTTAACGGTGTAACTAGAAAGCCAGTCTGACTTTCAGTGTGAAATGTTCACTATACGCTTCTAAAACCAAATCTAAACTTCAGAATTCGAAACGCAAACTTGATCAAGTTACACAAGTTACACGATTAGGTCATCGGTAAGTAATCTCAAAAACTAAAACACATAATTCGTCAAATTATGTTTTGTTTCGTAAAAACACTGTTATTCCAGTTCAGGCGTAATAAGAAGATGCAAGAAAGGGTTTGGAATACTTTAACACACAGCGATATTGTTAAGATATTAACCACAACGGCAACGGTGCGTAACATTTGTATCTTCATCCATATTTTAAAAAAAGGTAAATTATTTACCACCTTATTGTTTAAAGTAATCGATTAACTATGTCGCTACATTCTCAAGTTCCAATAATCTCAGTACAGAGTACTAAAAAAACCGACAACATGATGGAACATGATGAAACCGTGACATGAAACCGGAAACATGATATTCCCAATAAAAAATAAAAAAATTTAATAGCTAGAGCATTGAGGCTCGCGTTTGTTCAAAGGTTTAATAATGTTCATAATATCGGTCCAAAACTTTCCGTTTTATGGGAAAGAAGTTGTGACAGTTTATAAAAAAATTGAAATAAAGGCATGAAAGGGAACTGGAAGGTTTGTGTTGTAGATCATAGTGTAATTTATGCCTCGTTTGTTTTAGTTTCAATTTGGGGGCTCTAGGTCTAAGTACACAAGGTAACTGCCTACGTGGCGAAATGGTTACCATGTTCAACTGCCACGCATAGCGCGGGTATGATTCCTAGGCCGGGACAAATATGGTTGTCTATGTGTGTGTCTATGGCGCTCGCGATATAGGTTTAAAATAGTTACACCAGTATTATTGTATCAGGACACCGAAAGATTGTGATAAATGTCTTCCCCAGAATGTAAGGTACCTTTCGTGCTTATACTTCTCGAGGCAACGTTTACTTTACCTAAGCATACTGAAATATGCCATTTCTTACATAAATTTACCAATAATCGCCAAGTCTCTTCAACCTGTACATGAACCGTTTGATAATTGTTGAACTCTGCGGAATCGGATGCTCTTTGGAGGGACAGATTGTAAATAATATCAGCTACGCGGATGATATGGTGTTGCTGAGTCCATCAATAAGTGCATTAAGAAAACTAGTTGCATTATGTGAGCGCTATGCTGAGATCCAAGGCTTACGGTACAATGCGGCTAAGAGCGAGTTGCGTCCCTGAAGTTTGGGTCAACTACACTCGGAAAGCTTTCAACTCTCTAAGAATTGTATACAATAATTATATACAATTTTATTAGTTGTATACAATATTATATCCCGGATGTTGTTGCGGCTGCCGCGATTCTGTAGCGCGTCAAGAATGTTCGCCGATGCTCATGTGGACGGATTTGCCAGTCCAGTCCAGGTCTGTCCAGGGTTCATTTTTTGAACATTGCATCAAACTTCATGTGTACCCTAAACTCGGCACATATTTATAAGTTTGTAATTACTAACATTAGTGTGACAGTTTTTCTTTGTTATACTAACCAATATGGATGAAGAATCCGAAATAAAGTATTTTGAATTTGAATAATTACAGAATAACATTTTTAGTCGGTTACGGATTATGTTACCTCTGTATTAGCTACAGATGCATCCTCTTCCTAACAAAATTTGATTATTTTTCTTAGGTACTCGTGATAAAAGGCGACAACAAAATGAAAATCTGCCATGTTTTATCGTTTCAAAGATAAGAACAACCTTGGTCTGAATTGTAACAAATATGAAATTCTTTGTAATGCTTTCAGACGGATGTCTCTTTTTTATGAGTTACAACCACGAAGGATCCTCCCCATACGACATAGCATTGCTCTCCTGTAAGTACGTCAGGCGTACCCTGGGCAACAATTGGCGAGTAACTTACGCCAATTTGCAAAGCCTTTCACCATCATGGCACGCATTACAGTGTTAAGTCACCGACACGATAAAAAGATAAACTTGTTCTTTTAACATAATAGTCATTTACTTTTGAACATCCATATTTATCAATAATAACTTAATGCTAACAAACCGTAGGCGTGCCTATTATCCACAAAACGGAGTTATTTCTCATCCATAGGTACTGATAGCCGACCGTCTTCACCTACTTGCAATGGACCTGTCGTCCAACACCTTCGGCAGATACATTGAATCCTTGGCCATAAATGAAGCCAGGAAACTTGGCATCCTTTACAAGGTGAGGCGTTACTTCACACCGGGATAGTTGCTTCAGCAGTACCAAGCACAAGTCCGGTCGTGAATGGAGTACTGCTGCTACTAATAAGATGGCTCTGCTAAATACCAACTGGCCACTTTGGATTCAATAGACAAGCGTGCCAAGAGGCTTATAGGTGACTCGGAATCAGTAGAGGCGAAGCTGCAGAGCCTTGAACCAGACGTGGAATGGGTTCCACCCCTGAGTTGTGGATATTCCCAAGATTCGCACGAAGCGTGTCGTCGAACGCTGCAACTTGGACCTTTTCAAGGTGAAAGTGAATAGGCATTATTTAAGTATGCATGCTTACATCGTCGATCTCATCGTCACTTTCCATCAGGTAAGATGGAAGACAAATTCGCACTTATATTTTATAAACAATATATATTTATTCATTACGTGAATTTTAAATTCAGTTTATAATAGTTTTCAATAGCGGCCAAATATTGAATGTTTCGGAGTTTTCGGGTTAAGCCATGCTTTTGATGAACCGTTAACATCTTTTCCCTGATAGTTAAAGTATTTAAGCGACAACTCCCGAAGTAAATTTTCTCGTGATCTGGAATACGTTCGGTTAATTCTTAATCTTGTCTTAGCAGCCGCATGTCATTAGTCATGCGATCTCTTGCACTGGCGACTGACCAACTAGAGATATGTCAATAACCCAATGCTGGAGCTATGCCAATTATAGTTCCACGCATTGTAGCATAACATTCCGACTCGTATTTAGGTATAATATCTCTCAACTGTGACGGGAGATGATAAAATTGAAATGACTCAATAAATATCCATAAATTTGGACTCGAATGAGTGAGACCATTTGTCTAGATTGAATCTTTTCGAACGTGAAATTCTATCGGAAGAAATTTTCGAACGAAATCTGGCTAGTCGACAATAACTCAAGTATTAAAGGTGATTGCAGTGTATCGGCCTTAGACATAATTGTCTAACGCTGTCGCATAGATATTTTCATATGGCTTCCTGCGTAAATCTTTTGGAGTAAAGATGTCTTTATTTCTCATTGTAAACAAATTACACTTGTCATCACTTTTTTTTAATGAAAGGCAGATTATAAGCTACATAATTCTGCATAAAAAGCAGATTCCTCTAGCAGAGGCATTTGGCACTACAAGAAAAAATCGTGAAGACCTTAAAAGAAGGTATTAGTGCGTTCTAATCTAGTTCGTTTTCCGCCATTTATTGATCCTGCAAAGGGAAGCAAGTTGTTAAAATCGGCAGTAAAACTGTCAATTGTCACTTCTAACACCTCTTTGTTAGTGTACTAAACTTTTCCAGACCCATAATTGAAAGTCGGAACATCGAAAATCCAAGCCGAACATTAAAAACGAAGTAAAACATGACAAACTCCTAGATGTTACGTAAGATAATATGCGAAATTAAAATTGGACTTTCATATCAAATAGGTATCGAAATAACAAAGTGTTTTGTTGAAGTATTCGTTGATGACAGGTAAAATATAAAAACATTTACGGAGATTAATTTTATTATGATTTCACATTTCTGTCCACGTGAAACTGATAAGTGTCCTATTAATTACATATATTTATAAAGATCGACCCATACAAGGTCGTATGGCTTTAAGCCCCAAAGCGATTAGTTTTGCTCGGATGAATGGATTTTGTCGTGCTACTTGAATGAGACTGCTACAGACTCTATAATCAAAGTCGATCATGTGTAGGAAAGCAATAAAGTGTAACTTTCAGTAAGTACTTTCCAACAATACAAGCGATATTTTATTGCGTAGCGTTACAGATCAATGAAGAATTTCTTATAAGCATTGAATTTAGCTTTTTTACTTGATAAATGGCCGTAAGTACATTTTTTTCTAGTACAGAAGGCAACACTTCACGCTACACATTGACGGATCTTGTTACGATGCTCATGAAGCGATATTCGAAAAAAAGATGCCAATAAGTAGGTCTTAACCTAAAAAAATACACACGTAAAGTGTAAAACTTCCGAAGAGGCGTAGGTGTAACAAACACGAAGACATGTCAAAGCAGCAGTAGAACTCCTTGTGATAGAGTTCGTCCAGGAAAGTATTGCCAAGCTCTAATGTCACCATTACTGTGTTCCGGTTTTGAACGGTACTGATGAAATTACAGGCATATGGGACTTGTCAACTCATGTCTCAGAGTGACGGGCGCAGTTGCAGTGGTCTCCTCAGATCTTTGCGATTTAAAGCTCTGACACTGCAACTGTTATGGACAGGAATGCAGCTTACCATCAGGCGCACGACTTGTTCGTCTCGTCACTTGATATTATAAAAAAAAATTCTGTAAAGTGAGACTGTAGGATATTGTAATTGAATATATTTTTGTCACTTGGATGACATAGCGACCAGTTTTCACAACCAATGAGTTTATGGACACACGTGAGCCCGTAGGAAGACAACACGGCACGCGTT